TTGATACATAAACAATTACAATATATATTTTTGAAAGCATTCTTACTTTACAGCATTTTTTCACACCTGCCTAAAACTTTTGCACAGTACTGTATATGCCAAGGATGTTTGTTCTAGAGCAGCCCAGGACCTCAGGGCTGCATGACAACCATGGGGCTGTCCCAACGTGGTATTTGCCCAATGCATATTGCAGGATATACTATGGATGTGGCTTTTCAGCTTGGTCAGGAGGAAGGTGATCTGAATGTGGGAGATCTAACAGTTGCCCCCATGTCATGGCAGTTCATTTCCTGGTAAAGTTTAGACTGTCAGCAGCTTTTCCTCTCTGCGAGGTTGCGGGATCTATTATTACTAATAATATTAATATTATTAAGATCATCTACCCCCACAAACTAATAGATACTTCCAGATTCCAGAAGGCTCTGTGGGAATTTCTTGCTGATATGGCTGGTGCTCCTGTTGATACCCTGGATGCTCTGTGGAATCCAGAGTCATCCTGGCCAGTTGACATGATTGTTCCTAAGTGCTCTCTCCCTGCCCACAGAGCAGCACCTTGGGATACATCTGAGTAGAGGGCTATGATGCAGCTAGGTGACAGCTAGAACATAAGTGGAGGAAAACCCATGCTGAATATGATCAAACACAGCTCAGAGCCCATTATCAGGCCTACATGGTGATATTGAGGGTGATGAAGAAACTTGTTTTCTTAGTGTCACCCTGGCAGAGCTTTTCTGAGAGGTGAGGGGCTTGTTGCAATCTGGCCCAAAGAAAGAAGCTGCTGTACTCTTGGTAGCAGGCTGTGAGAAACTTAAGATGCTTGGAAGATAAAAGTTGCTTGCATTCACCATGACTTAGTCTCCCCAGTTAATGCAACTCCTGAAGTGAAAGTGTCCAGAGGATTATCCAGTCCTGTTATATTGGATGAATTTCATTTGCTGAGGGCTGAAGTAGACAAGGTGCTTGGATGTGGTCTGCCACTCGTGTACCTGATCTTTGCCTTTCTTGGCTTAGTATGGAGGCACTGTCCAGTTGTGTCCACAAAGCTGTAAATGCCTGATTGAGCGAGGGAACAGTTCTGGTCTCCTTAAAAGAGGTGGTGATCAGACCTGTCCTGAAGAAACAAAACCTGAACCCAGAGGATGAAAACAAGTATAGGCCAGGACAGGAAACCAATATTCCCTTCCTAGGCAAGATACTTAGCGGTTGGTGGCCAATCAGCTCCAGGCTTAGATGAAAATAATCTTCTACATCCATTTAAATCAAGTTTCAGGCCTGGCTATGGAACAGAAGCCACCTTGATCACACTGTAGGATGACCTGTGCAGGGAAAAAGACAGGGGGAGCATGATCTTGTTGGTCTGCTTGGTCCTCTCAGTGGCTTTTGATACCATTGACTACAGTATCCTTCTGGATAGACTGAGTAGGGGCACTATACTACAGTGGTTCCTTTCCTGTTTGGATAGCCATTTCAAGAAGGTAGTGCTGGGGGATTACTATTCTGTCTCATGGTTGGGTTATAGAGTCACTCAGGACTCCATTTTATCCCTGTGCTTTTTAACATCTACATGAAATGGGGAGGAGAGGTCATCTGGGGATGTGGACTTACACCGGTGGCATGGTTGACATTCTGAACCAGAGCTTGAGCAGGGTCATGGACTGGATGAGGGCCAATAAACAGACTCAATCCTGCCAAGACGGAGATACTGTTTGTGGATGATGCATCTGTCCAGTTGAGCAATGGCTGCCATTCCTGGAGCAGGTTCACAACTTCCAGATGGTCCATCGTTGTCACTAGAGGCCCAGGTGGTCTCAGTGGCACAGAGTGCTTTTCATCAGCTTTGGCTGATTTACCAACTGCAACTTTATGTGGACAGAGACAGCCTCAACAAGAGTGATTCATACTCTGGTTGGATTATTGCAATGCATTGTACGTGGGACTGAACAGACCAGAAACTTCAGCTGATTCAAAACAGAGAAGCTAGACTGCTCACTGGGACTAGCCAATTCAAACATATTATGCCAGTATTTTGCCATCTACATGGCTGCTGGTCCATTTCGAGACCCAATTTGAAGTGCTGGTTTTGAGGTTTAAATCCTAAAAAACTTTGGACCAGGAGTACCTTTTCCCATATGTACTTACCCGGACCTTAAGATCCTCTAATGAAACCCTCCACCAAAGGAGGTCTCTACAAGGCAGCAGCTTTTTTCTGTGGGGGTGCCCCGTTTATGAAATGGCCTCCCCAACTGGTGCTCATCATTTTATATTTTATTTGATTTTATTGTGTATGTTTCAACTCACATTTTTAAAACATGTTTTACTGTAAACCACCCAGAGAGCCTCACCTTTTGAGTAATTTAAATTTTTTAAAAATAATAAATATGATTACAAATCAATTTGAGTATGGGAGAGGGTTCAAACTCAGATTGTCTTGGAAATTAAGAGCATCTCCTTTTTGTTCTTTTTCATGCAAATGGGATAAAATGGCTTTATTTATTTTTAAGCAAAGCCAACACAAACCAGTTGTAAATGCCAGATTTCTGTAATCAGAAATCTCAATAAAATTTAGGCATGGGCAAATCAGCCCAATTCAATTACATCAACTTTAAACTTGAGTTTAAAAAAGTTCATTCGTAGGATATAATGCAAAAACACCAGAATGCCTGCAGTTGCTTCAGTTTTAGCAGTTTCCTACTCCTTCTTAGCCACAGGACAGTAGACTCTTGGAGGACTCTAAGCCTGCAATTTCAGCTGGGTATTTTCAATAGTTTCAACACAATATATTTTTGAAGTATTCCTTCCTGTATCTCTTTTAAAGCAGAGATAGTGGGATGAGGACAACAGCCAGTACCACCAAATAGTCCAGCAAAGAGTCTAAATCATACTGAACTAATGCAGGATGACAACTTATTATCCTTCTGAGATGATGTGAGGTGCTGCCTCTGATCATTGGATTTCTGGAGCCCCAAGAGGGTTGGCAGAGCTGATTTCTTGGAACAGCAAATTTTGGGAGGAGCTCCTCATCACTGGCAGGATTTGGTTGGGCCAATGTTACAGCTTACTGGCAAGAAGAGATAACAGAATAAGTGGCCACAGAGAAGGCAGGTGGCATTATATATAGTCTTCTCATCTCCTGTTCTTAAAAACACTAAACTCTATTTAGGCCATTACCTGTTAGTGTCAGCTTGTCACCCTTTCACTCATTGTCGAGACTTAAACTGATCCATACAGAATTTAAAAGGAAGGTTTGACCCAAGAGTGGATTCCTGACTGATTTGCCTTGAGCCGAGATTCAGAATGCTGAGAACTGTGTTGAACTCCCAGTGGTGTTTGCAGAACCAGCACAGAAGCATAACACTCAATTAACACAACAGAGAGTAAAGTTAAGGCTTGTGATTAGCCACACTCAAGAAACTGGGAGGTGAGAAAGTGAATGAAGCCCCAAACAATGTTAATATTTCCACCTCAGAACAGTTCTAAGAGGCAGAGAGTTTAAGGAAATGAC